CAATAGTCCTTTTAAAGGTATTGTTCACAAAATCACTTTTTATACTCACTTTTTACTTGTTTCAAAACTTAATGAATTTTCGTCTTCTGTTAAACACAAAAGAAGACATTTTGAAGAATGTTGAAAACCTGTAACCACTTCCATAGTATATGTTTGGAAGTCAATGGTTAAAGGTTTTCAGCCTTCATCAAAATTTCTAATTTTGTGTTCAACAGAAGAAAGAAACTCAAACATTGGGAACCACTTGAGGAATAAATATTGAGTAAATTTGAGAAAACTATCCTTTCGATGAGCCAAAAAAGTTCATATTTTTTAATGAGTGTATTTGCTGCAAGACTAATTGCTGTTAGTGAGGCCAGTAGGGGCCACTTAACCTGTGGTCTGTATGGGTCCTAACGCCCCAGTATTGTGAAGGGGACACTGCTCAGTGAGTGGCGTCTTTTGGATGAGACATTAAACTGAGCATCCTGGCCAAATTTGCCCACTGGCCTCTGTCCATCATGGCCTCCTAACTATCCCCATATGATAATTGGCTTCATCACTCTGTCCCTTTCCACCAATCAGCTGGTGTGTGGTGTGCGGTCTGATGCAATATGGCTGCCGTCGACTCATCCAGATGGATGCTACACACTGGGGGTGGATAAGAAGATTCTCTCCAAAAATGTGTAAAAAAAAAAAAAAAAAAAGCACTTTGAGTTTCTAGAAAAGCACTATATAAATGTTAGGAGTTGTTCTTATTATTCTTAATTAAAAGCTTGATAGAAACACTTCTAATCCCACAAACCTTCAATGATTTGATCCCACCAGATTTTGACATAGTCGTCCCGGTCTGAGCGGGATTGCTCATGATAGAAACCCAGTGCATGGAGAAGCTCATGTTCTACAATGGCTTTAGTGTCACATCTCTCCCCGATGGAGACGTTCTGGCCTGTCTTTAAATCTCCTACAAATGACCAACATCTAAAATGATGACAAAAACAAAGAAAAATGCAATATTGGTGTTACAGATGGGATACTATTGACAATCTGATTTATTAGACTGTTTGAATTTAATTCACCCATCCAGTTTTGTGAAAGAAATGTAGGTGCTTTCTCCTTCATAGGGCTTAAAGTCCACACAAGACTTCAGACGATACATTTCAAGTGCTTGAAGGATCACTCCTTTTGCATTCAGATCTAAACAAGTCAAGCATTAGGAATATTATCATGCTGGAGATCAGTATTTTGAATTAACCACAGGAGAAAATAATATTACCCAATGTGTCTGTGAGTATATATGGAATGGGAAACTGCCATCTTGCTTTTTCATCTATTATTGCATTTCTTCGTGGCTGGGAGATGAGAGTTTATTTTAGATCGAAATATCAACAATGAGACTGAAATGTGATAAAATAAAAAGTCACACTTTATTTTGATGGTCCGTTTGTTGAATTGAATTTACTTGCACTAATTCTCATTAGATTATAAGTAGACTCTTAGGTTGGGGTTAGGGTTAGTGTAAGTTGACATGTACTTGCAAAGTTTCTTTTAGTAAGTTAAATGTCTGTTAAAGGAGCAGTATCAGCAGACAGTCTACTAATACTCAAATGAACCATCAAAATAAAGTGTTACCAATAAAAACAACAGATTTTAGTTTAGAAATAAAAGACTTACATCACCTGCAATATCTCCTTCAAACAATTCTCTTTGGGAATCTGTGCCATTTAAAAAAAATAATATTAGATAGACTATAAAATGACATCTTCGAAATGACAAATATAGGGTATAATATGATTATAAAGCATATAAACTGCATTATTTTAAAGATTTGTTGATTTCTACTTTGTTACATAAGTTTGTAACCAACCTAAATTAATTTCAAGAATGTCCTCCCGTAATTCACCTGCATCTGCATCTTCGCCTAACATTTAAGAAAGCATAAACATCTGTGAGAAACTCCAGAAATACTTAAATAATATTAATATACTAATATAAAATTTCAACTGAACCTCATATTTAGAGTCATACCATATTGTGCTGGAAGGGCACATGCCTGCAAGGTAGATTAATCATAGTTTTGATTAATAATTTACTTGATTGTTTGCTATAAAAGCTTTTTAAATGTAAAAATGTGGGTCACATTTTACAATTAGATTTCATTAGTTAATGTATTTACAAACATGAACTAATTCTGAACAATACTTGTAGAGCATTTATTAATCATAGTTAAACATTTACTAATGCTTTATTAGAATCCAAGTTTTTCCAAGTGTTTACATGAACTAACAATGAACTACTGTGTTTTCATAAACTAATGTTAGCTATCATCAACAAATACTGTAACAGATTATTCACTGTTTGTTCATGCTAGTAAAAGCATTAGCTAACATGAGCTAATACAACCTTATTGTAAAGTGTTACCAAAATGTTAATAATAATAGTTTTTTAAATACCTTGAGCGCTAGAAGTACAAAGAAGAGGCTGATTCTCCACATGGAGTCCATGTTAACTCCAGGAGAAGTCAACAAGGTTTTGCTCACTTATACAAAGATACCAATAAAATAAGAGTAGAACTTTGATCTGAAAGCCTTGAACAATTACCCTGTTGAAAACACACGTGAATGAAGCAGTTATAGCAGCTTGTCATGTGTTTAATGAAGTGTCTGTGTGCATCAGCACTTCTCTATTCGTTATCTCTCTCTCTCTTCTTTATCTTTATTTTTCCTTATGACAACAGTATCAAGATGAGAAACATTGACACCAAAGAGAGTCACATCTGATGTGCAAAACAAAACGTAATTCAGACACTTTTAGAGTATATTTGAGCAGCAGTTTTGAATCTAGATGACCACACACACAAAAAAAAGCCTCTAAACATAATGATTATGGTGAATATAGGAAACAAAAACAAGAAAATAAATTTATTTAGCCAAAATTAGTCTGAGTTTAACCACTTCTCTGTCTTTTTTCTTTTCTTTTTCAACCTTTCTTGACAATATGCACCATATTTATGTGTATTTACCTTTTAGCTTCACTTTATTTTGATTGGTCCCTTTCACATATTCTGTTGGCTCATATGACGTTGCATGTACATACAGTAATAATAGACAGGCTAGTGTTAGTGGTTGACCTATACTGGTAGACTTACACTCACTGGTCACTTTATTAGGTACACCTACAGTACCAGGTTGGACCCCCTTTTGCCTTTAGAACTTAATCCTTTGTAACATAGATTCAACAAGATACTGGAATTATTTCTTAGAGATTTTAGTATATATTGACATGATAGCATCAAACAGTTGCTGCAGATTTGTCGGCTGCACATCCATGATGAGTATCTCGCATTCCACCACAACAAAAAGGTGCTCTTTTTTCAGAACTGCCTTAATCCTTTCAAGACATAGATTCAACAAAATACTGGAAATATTTCTGAGAGATATTAGTCCATATTGACATTATAGCATAATGCAGTTGCTGCAGATTTGTCGACTGTGCATCTCCCGTTCCACCACATTCCGTCAAAGGTGCTCTATTGGATTGAGATTTGGTGACGAAGATCATTTGAGTACAGTGAACTCATTTTCATGTTCAGGAAACCAGTCTGAGATGATTTATGCTTTATGACATGGCACATTGTCCTGCTGGAAGTAGCCATTAGAATATGAGTGCACTGTGGCCATAAAGGGACGGACATGGTCAGCAACAATACTCAGGCTGTGGCATTGACATAATGTTCAGTTGGTACTAAAGGGCCCAAAGTGTGCCAAGAAAATATCCCCCACATCATAACACCACCAGTAGCCTGAACCTTTAATACAAGCTAGGATGAATCCATGCTTTCATGTTGTTGATGCCAAATTCTGACCCAACCATCTCTATGTTGCAGCAGAAATGGGGACTCATTAGACCAGGCAACGTTTTTTTTAATCCTCGATTGTCCAATTTTGGTGAACCTGTGTGAATTGTAGCCTCAGTTTCCTGTTCTCAGCTGAGAGGAGTGGCACCCGGTGTGGTCTTCTGCTGCTGTAGCCCCTCTTCCTCAAGGTTCAACATGTTGTGCATTCAGAGATGCTCATCTGCATACCTCGGTTGTAACGAGAGGGTTTTTGAGTTACTGTTGCCTATTTGAGTTACTGTTCTATCAGCTCGATCCAGTCTATTTTTTTATTAACCACTCTCTATAAACCAGGAAATTTGCGCTTAGCAGCAGTTGGACAAGTGTAACTAATAAAGTGTCCATAAATGTAAGTTATTTGTGGTCAGCAGATTTGTCTGTTGGGAAATCATCACTATTATAAGATAGCCGGCAGTCTACCAATATTGCAATGACCTGTAGTTGGCATGTAGGTGCAGTGTTATTGTCAACAGAATGTTCAAAACAGACCATAATAGTGTTTTCTTATTTGCATATTTGAACCCAATAATTGACAGTTGGGACAGTTAACACTAAAATTAAAATTTACACAAATTAAATTTTTTACTGTTTTTCTCCTTCATGTGGTTTCAATACTTTATGAGTGTCTTTATTATGTAACACAAAAAAGATATTTTGAAAATGTTAGCAACCAGTAAACACTCTATAGTAAATATCTTCCATTATGACTTCCAAGCACAAGTAGCCTACTATAATTCAATGGTTACTGGTTTTAACATTTTTCAAAATAACTTTTTTTTTTTCAACAGAAAAAATAGGAAACTCAAACAAGTCTGTGACAATGAACGGTGAGTAAATGATGGCAGAGTTTTTGTTTAAAGCACAAAAGTTCATGTGTAAATTAACTAATGTGTATTTGATCAGTAAACTCATAATAAAAGATGAGAGGGGTAGAGTTAATATGTTTACTGCAGGACAAGACACTGGGATGAGGATAGCCTTAGAACTCAAATATAGATAAAGTCATATCATATCAGGGAGATTTCAGATAAGATTAGCACATTATCTCACATTTACATTTTTAAGTGAACACTGAACACTAAAACTACAAAGTTCATGCATGCAAGTGAATAATTTCAGAAAGCAATTTGGCAATTGACGACTTTATTAAAATGTTTCAAAAGTAGCAGAATATCTAAAACACTGTTTCAGTAGCACAGTATTACTTCCATCATTAACATATTTAAGATGTTCTCCACAATCCACACAGCTCTTCAGACTTTAAAGTGCGACACCTGTTTAGAGAAATACAAAGTAATGAATCAAAATGAATTATCTCAAACATTTTGTCAAATATAATACTGTGTGTAATTTAACTAATGTTTACATCCAAATTAAGCCCTGATAAAAAGGAGGGTAAAGGGATAGTTCACCCACAAACAAAACGTTTACACATTATTTACTCACCTTCACTTGTTTCAAATATGTTTTGAGTTATTTTTTTTTCTGTTGACATTTTGAAGAAAGATTAAAAGGGATTAAATAGTAAGAATGTTTGGTTTGGAGTGATCAATCCTTTCAATCTGATAACTATTAAAAAAATAATAGTTGTGTATTTTAATGTTGTATTTACTCTAAATCAGCCAACTTACAGTCTTTTTTTCCTCAAACCTTTGGGGCAGTCGGAACCTCACTCTTTATCAGGCTTGTTAAGTCTTTAAAGAGACACACACAATCAAACAATTAGACAACATCTCCAATAGTGTCTGGCTGCAGACTTGCACATGCACTCTCAGACACATGCGCTCACTGTGTGGGCTAGGGTTAGGGGCGGGGTTAATATAGTGTGTAGCATACCTTCAAAGTCAACAAAGATGATGAGGTCATCATTTTTCAGGTAATTTCGTCTGTGTAAATCGTAGTGCTTTATGAAAGTATTCCATCCCTTTGATGGTCCTCGCCAAAAACCATCGCTTGGGTCAAGGGTCCCAACCTTTTTTGGATTGTCCCACAATAGTTGTTCTCCATTTCCTAGAAAACATTAATGTAAAGATGAAAATTTCAATCTTTATCAAGGCCATAAACGTCACAGTAATTGACAAGGACAGGTCCCCCTTAACTAGTAATGCCTCCCCCCTCCTCTAATATTTCTAATTGTTCTAATTCTAATCGACTCAGGGTGCTTTCACATCTACACTTTTGTTTCGGAACGTGTCTCGATTGCCCAGTTAGTGCGGTTCGTTTGGCATATGTGAACAGGGCAATCGCGCTCTGTTCCGCGCCAAAGTAATCGCTCCGAGATCGCTTGAGTGAGGTGGTCTCGGCTCGATTGAAACGAACCCTGAAGCGGTTCGATTACAGTGAGAAAGCGATCCGATCCGAGCGCGGTTATATCACAGTGTTTTATGGATATGTAATAGGCTTACGGCTATATGAAGAGAGAATTATGAGTAGGGCGGGAAGTTTCGCGAGTCTCCGGATGCCTGCAAATAAGTGATGATCTCCCGGTAATCTCCCGTCTCCCTCCCGGTCCTCAAATAGGCTACGTCGCGCACCCTTCTCACCCCTCCCCACCGCATCTCTCCTCAGACACATCGCGCGCGCGCACCATGTCAATCACAATTAAACCACCACCTCTCCTGACAGCTTAGCGGGACGCTGCAAAATAAACCCTGACACTCTTACCAATGTGAGGAGAGTTTACTCGCACGTGACTTGTTTTAGCTCTTTTGGTCCGATTAGAAACTTTGCAGTGTGAAAGCGAACCACTCCAAGAGCAAAGAGCAACAATGTAACAATTGTAATCTCTGTTTCGGAACAACTGAATCGATTCACAGGTGTGAAAGCACCCTTAGTGTATAACTGCAGTTTAACACAGTATATGCTTGACCCTGCACTGTCCACCGTATACTCAGAGCCTTAACTCTTCTTGATTTTGATTGTAATTTATTATTGTTGCAATGATCATTATTGTGAAAAGCTCTTTACAAATAAACTCAAATTGATTTGCACTTCTTTATTATGCATCACTTAAAAGTCACGTTTAAAGTGCTCGTTAATGTTAAAATAATTGATCAAATTAGGTTTAATTTAAACAATTTAAAAATGCTAAGCAAAAACTCCAGTGCAAAAGCTCTGCATGTGAAATTTTGTCAGACGATGCAGCGAAAAGGGGAAAGAAAAAAAACAAGATGATGCAACATTAATATACGAACAATTGCTCCATATTTAAAATGTATTTACATAGAGGCCATGTTTGATCTCCTTTTGGTCTCACACATTCACATAATGTAAATATGACGGTCAGAGAAACACAAGGTCACACAAGCTTGTGTTAAAATTAATATAGCAAGAATTCATGATTCAAATGTTAAACATCCAGTAATGCAAACCAATTTGAGGATTTTGTTTAAGTTATCCTAAAATGTATGTAGATAAATTCAATTAAATTGTAATTATTACAATCAATTTAATATAATTGCTTCCAATTAAAATTAGATCTAACATTTCCTTCACCATTCTATTTCATTTTGGTTTCTAAAACATGTTGATTTTCCCCCATTGTTTCCCCAAACATGGTTATGGCCTCAAATACCTTTGCTCAGGTCAGTGGTGAGGCTACGAGCAGAAGACATCCTCAACCTAATATCCGGATCTTGGTCCATCACCACTATAGTGGCCTGGCGGTTCACAGCAGGCCACTGCATCACAATGTCATTGTCACCACTGATCAAATGGAAGTACAGACCAGTGTAGTTACCAGCATAATCAGAATAGCCAGACAGTGGAATCACTTGAATCCCAAAACCATAACCCTCAGGGCTGTAGAAACGAGGGCTGTTCAGCACAGTGCTGTAGTCTGCCTTTTCAAGGATACTGGAGAAGTTTTGGATGCGCCAGACAGCGGCTGGACAGTGTGTCTCTGTTAGGCTGATGTCATCTATGAATATACCTCCTCCAGAGCTGCTCGAATCACCTTTCACTGCTTGGAATGCATAGCGGAATTTTGCCCCAACTTGCATCGGCACATGGGCAATCTTCCATGTTTTGTCTTCATCAGCTGGGTAAGAAAGGCACTTTATCACCACATTCATTTTACCTTAAACGATAGTTGCAACACAGGCTCATTCTGAAAACACTGCCCTTTAAACATTTTGAGATCGGGAATTATGTAGCCAGAAGTACGTATAGCTGCATTTTATTTTTTAAACAAACACTACAGGGCGGTGTGAAGCTGTTTCTTTTCGCGCTTATCAGCTGTCCGCTTACCTACGGCTTTTCTGCTGTTATCAGTTTGTCAAGTTAGCTCACAATGTACGTTGGCGGACTTGAGACGCAGAAAAAAGTTGACCACGATGATGGTGTTAGAGTACGGCGAAGAACGGTTCCAGAAAGTGGAAAAGACAAAAACAGAATCCAAAAAATAAAATAAACAAATAAATAACAGGGTGAGAATGTGGTTAAATCAGAAAACATGGTAAAAATCAGGTGAGGGCTTTTCTTTTTCTGGATTGCTTTTGAAAACTGTCGGTTGGGTTTAGGGAAGTGGGTGGCGGGTCAATCGGTGCTTTTGAAAACACTATTGGTTGGGTTTAGGGAAAGAGGGAGGGTGGGTCAGTCAGCCATTCAGTCAGTCAAACAGTCAAAAGCGGCCTCTGGTGGATTTACGTGAGAACAGCAGGTGCGAATGGCACTCGAGAGGCATTTGAGACCTGAAAAAGCGTACACAGTGGCCTCTGGTGGATTCGCAAAAACAAAAACTGCTAAAAAACATAGCACCTGGTGGACGTATTTGACGCTCTCCAGAAATGTATTAGCGGTACGTTTTCAGAATGAGTCTGGGTTGGATTATGTACATACTGTTGACTTCAAAAACCTTTCTCTATGCAAATGAGAGTATTAGACTATCTGCTTAATATCTGCTAACACTTTATTTTGATGGCCAACAGGCTTTCTACTATAAGTAACTTTTTAAGTACATGTCAGCTTAATCTATAGCAGTAAATAAAGAGAGAATTTCATTATTACAGTAGTATTCAAAGTAAATAAAGAAAGAATCTTTATTTTTAACAGTGTAGGCTTCTAGTATAGTTCACAAAGAAAATAATTACCCCAGATTGTTTGCAGTTTCTTTAATTTACGCACTTCTCCCGTTCCATCATCCATCCTGGCCCAAATCACTAGCCTGTCCTTTGCACTCCCCGTCATTTTGTAGAAAAACTGTAGGCACTGCAGCTTCCTTTTTGGATATAGGATGCGGGACTCGATTAGAGCAGATCTCTCTGCCTGTCCACTGGACGTGTCAAAGTGCATAGTATATCCTAAATCTGAAATCACAAGCCAAAATGTTTGTTTAATTTAATCATACTGCATCCACTCTGGAAAATGTGTATTGCAGGCCTTTTTGTCACCTCTGCATTGTCCGCTGAGAGTATGATCCTCAGAGCTCTTAAGATGGACCCAATCGCCATCATCAGTCGAACTCTGTACCATCCCACAGATGTTGATCTTTTCAAAAGCACACTGGTCCAGCAGGGTAAGAGAAGAGGCTGTGGAAGAGCAGACCACTTCTAGGTTACATACGAGCTAACATGTTAATTCATTTATCTTATTGTGTATTATTAACCTACAGCAGTTGTACATTCGATTCAGTCTGACAATATCCATCTCACTGAAGTCCAGGTATTGTCCGATGATTTTGTAGAACTCTGGGATGTTGGTGGTAATAGTAGGAATAGAGGGGTCTTTGTTGAAAGCAAATGGACGATAATGCATAACAGACTCGTAGTCATATGGTGTGTTTAGGTCTGTGACAAAACTGTCATCATATTTGTTAAAATTATGCTCCAAGCCTGGAAAAGAAAAGGAAGCATTATGTGAGATTTTATAGACATGATGAAACAAAATTATAACAGAGTGTTCTTAAAGATCACATGAAGTGTTTTGAAATGTAACTCTTTGTTGAATGTAGGGACGGCGCGTCCATAGAGGCGACCTAGACACCCACCTAGGGCGGCAGCCTACCCTCACCACCCGCACCCTCAGTTATATCCGCGTCTAGGGGGCCAGAATAGAGAGGGCAGCGTCCGCGACACTACCCTTACCACCTGCGCCCTCATTTATAACCCCACCCCACCCCCCACTTTTACTTTAGGGTTAAGGGTGGCATGACTGTCGTTTGCCTAGAGCGGCAGTTCAGCTTGCTCAGGCCCTGGTTGAATGACTGATATAAATTTAGCTGAAACATGAAGACAGGGCAAGACATAGAGTAGCTTCTCCCTCTTTTAAAAAATAGCCTATAGCATTTAGTTTTTATTACAGCTCTGGCAGTGAGAGTTTTTGAGCTCAAATACATAAGGCATGAGTGTCCAAACTCGGTTCTGGAGGGCCAGTGTCCTGCTGAGTTTAACTCCAACTTGCTTCAACACACCTGCAGGAAGTTTCTAGTATATTTAGTAAAAGCTGAATTAGCTGGTTTGGCATTTAGGACACCGGCCCTCCAGGACTGAGTTTGGACACCCCTGGCATAAGGCATCCTGAAGGAGGCGGGACATGTCAGATACTCAAGAGCATTTGATTGGTCTGAAGATTTGATTTGAGAAACTAAAGTATAAGGTGATAACAAAAAAATGTGTATCTATACATATCCTTAAAACAAACCCACTGATACTAACATCTAAAAAAAACTGCATTCGCTGGGACTTTAATCTACACACAAATGATGAAAAACAACTGAACTAACCTTCAATGACCTGATCAAGCCAGATCTTCACATAGTCGTCTCGGTCCTGGCGAGACTGCATGTGGTAAAAGCCCAAGGCGTGCAGCAGTTCATGCTCAATCACAGCCTTATGATCACAGCCGGGCCCCAGAGAAAGAACTTGTCCGTTCTGTTGATCTCCAACAAAAGACCAACACCTACGACAATTTTGATGCTCAGTTAGTGTAATGTTTATTATACAATAGATGTTGTATTAGGGCTCATACAGGTGCTGAAAAAATACAGGTTGCTTTCGTAATAATTAATTAATTCGTTAATTTTCTTTTTGGCTAAGTCCCTTTAATAATCTGTTGTCGCCATAGCAGAATGAACTGCCAACTTTTTTGGCATTTGTTTTATGCAGTGGATGCCCTTCCAGCTGCAACCCATCACTGGGAAACATCCATACACACTCATTCACACACATACACTACGGAAAATTTAGTCTACCCAATTCACCTGTACCACATGTTTTTGGACTATTGGTGGGAAACCGAAGCACCCGGAGGAAACCCAGGCGAACACGGTGAGAACATGCAAACTCCACACAGAAATGCCAACTGACCCGCAGCCAGGGCTCGAACAAGCGACCTTCTTGCTGGGAGGCGATTGTGCTACCCACTGCGCCACCGTGCTGCCCTTCATAAAAATCCATCTTACTAAATGAATAATAATAAATAACTAATTCAATAAAATAAAATCATTTTGGTTTTGTATAAAATGAGAACTCTGGAGTCTGTGCTGTAGCATAGCGTGATCTGCCTGTCTTTTTTAATCTGTGCCCTTTGATTAAGCAGTGATAAAAGACAAAATCCATGGCAAATATGCCCTAAAAATATATTAAATCTATAGTGAAGATGAAAGATTACACATTTAAAATGTGAGTAAATGATTTAAGAATTTTTGAATACTATACTATATAGAAAACTTTATAAAAAACATATAGCATTTGATAAAATGGTATGAAATATTTATGTAAATATGTCATTTGCCACACTTGTAAAATCCTGGAAATGCTGAGATGGGTCTGGATGCAGACCTGGTGCAGTGCAATCTGAGCTGCATCCAATGCTTTTTATTGGGCTTACCTCCACCCCTAACCCTACCCATCACAGTGACAAAAGTCGCTCCATTTGAGGGCATTGTGTCTGACATTGCATCGATGAGTGATGCAATCTCAGCTTGCATCATAAAGGTTGCATCCAGATACCATTGGAAAAGTTTGAAGGGGAACCTGTAAATTGCTTAAAATGTGCTTAAATAACAAAGTATGAGATGTATTTTGTTTTATTAAAAACCAATATAATATAAAATAATCAAGTATATAACAAAAAAGTTAGGTAAATAGTCTAAAAGTAATGCAGTATAATAATTAGATTGTGTTATTCAAATTGTGTAATGTGCACTGTAAAAAAACCTGTTATTCTATGTTTTTTTTAATGAAATGTAAAATAGCGGAAGTTAAATGGCAGAAACTTCCTTAAATTAAAATTTCCAGTGAATTTCTGTCATTTAACGACTGTTATTTTACGGTAAATTTCAGTAATTTACCCACCCCAGCTGCCGGAAAAAAAAACAAAAACGTAAAATAACTGATTATTTTTTTACGTTGACACATTACTAAATACGGTTAATACATACAATTGCAATTATGTAACAAAAAATGTGATATATGTTTGACTGCACAAACCCATCTCCTTTCTCAAATTTGATGTATGTCTTCTCTCCCTCATAGGGTTTGAAATCAACACATGACTTTAGACGGTACACTTCAAATGCCTGATAGATTGCACCTTTTGCGTTAAGGTCTGTGTAAAAGAGCAATAATGTATTCATGATTAAAAGCGTTACTGTAAAACACAAGTTTGTCATTTTAGCTTTCTGCTTGATTTGGTAAACATTTGAAAATGTCATACCCAGACTGTCAGACAGAATGTAAGGAATAGGGAACTTCCATCTGTATGTTGTGTTGATAAGACCAATTCGACCTGGCTGTAAAGACAAATACATTACATACAGGTTAAAATTTTTTTACAAATATAGCAAATGTAAAAAAAAAATCTAATTATTAGACAGTCTGTGCACTTACAGGTAAGGCTATGTCTCCCTCAATCAGCCGGGTTTTTGCTCCTGATATATAAATTATACAAGATTTATTTGGTTTAGTGATAATGAATTTGTTTAATGTTTTGTAAATTAACCCAAAATCAAAGTTTACTTTGAATAAACAGCAGGATTAAAATGAGCATTGATGTCATTGTAATATAATACAAAAACTGCACATTACTCATTAGCACACTTCACATTACCAAGATTGATGAAAGGGTTAAAATTGGGTTCATCTTCAACCTCTGCAGAATAAATAGTGTTATGTTTAGATAAAGCCAACAAAATGTTTATTAATTACAGTAAATCATTTAAATTATTAATCTTACCATGAACACGACTTGAAAGTGGAACCTGAAAGTCATTGTAGGAATATTATAAATCTCAAAGCATTAAGAGACAGCACTGCACAATACCAGAACAATTCCATACACTATATTTGTATAGAAGCCTGTAGAAATGTAGAGTAAATTATGAGTAGAGAAAATCATTCACTCACAGCATGAAGTACTGCAGCCAGCACTGCGAAGATGAGCAGTCTCTGTAAAAGCATACTGTCGATATGAGAGGTACAAAATATTGTCATCGCTTTAATGATATAAAGAGAACTTTAGCCTTTGAACATGTTTATTGCAGCATGGCTTTGAAGTGTCCCACCACTGACAGCATAGTTTTAATACAACTCAAAGGACACGTGTCTCCCATCATAAATGATGTGCAGTTACATGCAGAGAGTAAATAGTTTATGCAACTCAGAGCAGCCCGATTTTTAATAAATCTTTTAAGTACACTAAAAAAAAATGATGTCTGCAAAATTGTACAAACAATTTATATGGGTTAAATTTAAACAAACAAATTACATTTAGTAATGTTCAACTTAGTTTGACAGTTTAAAATCAACCAAAACAAATTGTTTACAATCTCTTAACTTAAAAAAAAATAGTAAATCCAAGGCAAGGAATAATCTTTGAATTTTTTTTCAGAGATAAGGCTATTAAAGTACAGCAAACATGCATTGTTTATTAGAGAAGTCAATATAGTAGTAGCTATATGAATACTGGCATACTATAGAGACAATATTGTTAAAGTTATTAAATCATGTATTTTGAGTTTCTTTCTTCTGCTGAACACAAAAAAACAGATATGTTGAGGAATGCTGGAAACCAGTAGTCATTTGTGTTTATTCCTATGGATATCAATAACTCGTTTTACACAGTAATGCAGGTAAATTGTCTTAAAAATACCCAAACAGAACCACTTTAGCTGTAAATTAAAAAATGCTCTATTCAAACACAGCACAACTTTCAGCAATGTACTTGTAATGTTACAACTTCTTGTTCTGGAAACTCTGAAAACATTTTACTGCATTTAGAAAATGCTGTTCATACAAGATAGCCTTGTGGCAATTTAATAGAATTTTTCCTACACTGTCAAAAAAAAAAAAAAAAAAAAAAGGCTGAAAGGGGCTAATGGCTATGGGTTTCCAATAAATATCTTATTTTTATCTATCTATCTATCTATCTATCTATCTATCTATCTATCTATCTATCTATCTATCTATCTATCTATCTATCTATCTATCTATCTATCTATCTATCTATCTATCTATCTATCTATCTATCTATCTATCTTCATACAATTCATGACAGAACGTATCCTTGATCACTGTCAGCTTTTCCTTCATCAAATGATGTCACTTTAAAGTCATAGCCTTAAGCCCCGGTCAGATCACACGATTTTTATTGTCGATTACGAAAGTCACTATGTCACATTATACGATTTTTGTCCTGATAAAATTTTGACTTGTTGTAGGTAACAAATGTGCCAGACTACACGTTCCTTCACAATCAGTCATCCCGTGATGTCTACGATGAACACTATTTCCCAAAGCAGTCACAATGTTGCTATATTTCTTATCTTAATTTCTTATGTCAATCTTAATAAACACTCATGTTTGCTGAAAACTAGGCTATACATTATTTAAGAGCGTTTGTTATGACATTGATAGATTAAAACGTTTATTTCCTTTTTTTTCATTTATTAATTTTCTATTACGCTTAGAACCTTTACTAATCCGGGGTCACCACAGCGGAATGAACTGCCAACTTATCCAGCATGTTTTACGCAGTGGATGCCCTACCAGCTGCACCCCATTACTGGGAAACACCCATACACACTCATTCACTACGGACAATTTAGCTTACCTATACCACGTCTTTGGACTTGTGAGTGAATCCAGAGCACAGGAAGACGGGGAAGAACATGCAAACTCCACACAGAAATGCCAACTGACCCAGCCAAGGCTCGAACCAGCGACCTTCTTGCTGTGAGGCGATCATGCAACCCACAGGGCCACTGTGATGCCCTATTTCCTTATTAATATTAAAATTTCCTTTTAAATCTAAATGTATACACTTTATCTACTGTATTTATGTTTTTATTTCAGGGACAGATAATGTACGTTTCTGGTAGAATGTCCCTTATGAGTTGTGTGAATGACTAGATTGAGCACAGTGAGTGTCTTAAATATGCTGTTTGTTTGCTCATTGACTTCCATTCTATAAATAACTTCCATTAAGTTAAAAAAATCTTTATAAAATAAGAAACAAAACATTGAGGCAGAAATATGCGCTTCAGTTATTACTAAATTAATTGTTTCACCAATACGAATCACTTTCATACGAATCTTGACTTTTGAACAGAACTGGACTGGGGGTGTTGTTCAATATGTGCTGCGTCACACCCCGTGCTCGAATGTTATTGGTTTGTGTTACTGTCCGTCTTATAAACCAGGAACGCGGACTGTCACTTTAAGTACGAAGTGTTCTTTCAACGAATCGTTCACTAAAAAGATTTGTTCAAACACACTTCGAAAAACCGATCCAAAATCAGCAGGGATATGTGACTCAATGCACACGCACATGAGTCGAGTCATGGTCAGGATGAGGCTCCGCCTGCTCACTGTGGACTTCAGCTGAGGCTCAATGGATCGCTGTTAACGTCGATGTGTTCTGTTGGCAGACTTGTTCAGCTGACTCTGGTCAAGAGGGTATATGAATGGTCAAAGTCAACGTCAGGTAAGTTATTACAAGTCAATTTTAAAAGCCGTTTGACGACTGTGATAACAGTGGCTAACATGCTAACAGTAAACAAACTCATGCCAGTGTTATCGTTGTTGTGACAGACAGCCACTTCCTATCACGTCACTCACTCATTTTCATAAAGTTTTTGAATACTTTTTTAAAAAGTCTGACTATAGTTTGAACTGCTTTTTATTATGTAAGCTAGTGTGCGTGATAGAGGTAAAGGTTTTATATTCACACATTCGTTCATTTAGAAGTCTCTATATTGTTTACCATGTTACTTTGAATATTCCAGTTGTTCTCAAACTGTGGTACATGTACCACTAGTGGTAACGTTACGTGGGCTTCCTTCTAGTGGTACGCGGATAAATCAAAAATGTCATATGTACATTATGCTACATATATTTAAATAAATTATCAAAAAAAATGTATATATGAATATGATGACATAACGCCTATATTTATTTCTATTCATTTCTATATAAATATATATTTATATGTTTCCAGGTGCTGATAAACATGGAGTTTTTTTTTTTTTACTTTTTAATAACAGTAACCTATCATTTTTAACTTTTAAAAGGACATTTTAATTTAAATGTTCTTAAAATTAGGAACTAATATTTCTCGTTTTTGAACTGTACAGAGCTTTAGCTGCTTTACTGGACCTAATACACTACTGTACTTCAATACTAATCTTTATGGTTGTACTTGCAAGAACAATTTTTTTCTGAGGGTTTACTTGATGAAAAACGTTTGAGAACCACTGGAATATTCGATCTTTAGCATACAAGTATGACTTCAAAACAACATTAACACAATCTGATTAACTGTGAACAGTGTTGTATTTTGATAGTCACTGTGTGCATATGATTTCTCTATTTAGAATTTGCAAAGAATGCTTTTCTGAAATTATGTTTTTAAGGAGAATGTTTGAATATCCGAATATAAAACCAGCCTTACCTCTATGTGTGAGTGGGAGTTGCGAGTACACCAACAAGCACATTATTCTCACGAGATGAGAACTTCTTTGATTGACAGTTTCTATATGACTAACGGACCAAAATGTGGTTCTTGGAAAACACTGAAAGAGCCGTTGTCAACAGTCAGCAGACTTGTCATGACTTGTCATGCTGTAACAATGTGATGTCTTTTTAGGTTTACAGTTTATTCCTAAGAAGTGGAATTGGTTCTGTGTTATCGCAATGGGGAACTCAAGCGGACACAACAACACTATGACTATCCCACCAGGAAAAGGACCCCATCAAGTGGGATGCACAGACCTGATGGTGGGCCACACAGTCCAGGTAAGTGTGTACACGTATTGCTTGAACTTCAGTTGTCTGTGTGCCATCAGCGGATTTAAAGATATGTTTCTGTTTCTTCAAGGGTACGTTCATGAGAATCTACTATCCGTGCCAAGCAACCGAGCATCCTCATCTGCCTGATTGGGTCCCGTGTAGGGAGTATTTTAATGGCCTTGCAGACTTCATGAAGATTAACAGAGCACTGAGTGAACGTATTTTCAACTACCTCTTTGGTAAGCATTTTTTTCTCTTCATTCTGCCTGAGGCTTTTTGAAAAAGTCACTGTTGTGCCACTTCCTCGATGCTTTGAGATGTGGTTAAACATGGGTTGCTACTGTCATCATGTGATGATCAGTTGTTTTCTTCTTTCATTTTAGGGTCATGTAAAATCCCAGCAGCCTGGAATGCGTCATTTAAACCGGATGGGAAATATCCTGTTATAATTTTTTCCCATGGACTGGGCGCTTTCAGGTGTGTGTGATTTTTAAGATTGGTCTGCAGACATAATCTCAGTTCTTTGATGCAGCCTCACTGTGTTTCTGTGTTGTATTTTCAGGACATTGTATTCTGCCATATGTGTTGAACTGGCCTCACAGGGCTTCATTGTTGCTGCGGTGGAGCACAGGTGCTTGCTTTCAGAATTTATTAGCTGTAAAAGCTGTTTTGCTTTCAGTCTGGACCAGTATGTTGAAATAAGAGATGTCCACCAGAACACAATTGCAGTTCAGAGACTCAACTTGGCCTGTGTCAATGAACGGTTTTGTATGTTGTAATAGTCAAAAGTGTGTGAAGAGTGTGCAAACAATAGTATAAACTAGGTCATCACATTCTTAACAGTGTTTACCAGTGGACTGACACATAACACAGGACTAACTGCAGTGATGCACTGCCTTTCAGATTTTGAAAACTAGCTTTAAATATCTGTCATTTAGATATTTAATTTAGTGTTCATAAAACCTTAAATATCTTCACACGTTAGTTATAGGCAATTTGTGCTGAGCCTTGTGTATTTTTCTTTCATTGTAATAAATCTTTTTTTCATTTCAGGGATGAATCTTCGTCTGCAACATTTTATTTCAAAGAAAATGCTGAGCCAGGAACAAAAAGACATATGTCATCTGACATCTCTAAACCTGTGTCTGATAATCTTGAAGAGGTTTGGATGTACTACAGACCATTGAAGACGGGCGA